TTTTATGTCCCTCAATTAAAAATTTAAATGTATCCACACTATCCCGCCATAAAATAACTAGACCTTTTGTTGGGAAAGGGATAATTAGACCCTCCGATTTTTCTGTATTAAATTATGGTCATATTTAATTTTAAAAATTATATCTATTGTTATTTTTTATAATGTTTATTTTTATTTACTTTCATTTAATATTTTTTATTTGATTGTATTTATATTATGTGTCATTCAATTAAATTGTAATAAATATTTGAAATTATGTAATTGTTTTTTTTAAATCACCATCCGTTACAGTAATAACTTGGTTTCAACATATCTTCATCAAAATTTTCTTCCTCGTCAGCCACAATTATTGATTTAGTTTTAGATGTCTGCATGTTGTCACTTGAAAATTTTATATTTTCAGAGAAATTGGTAATTTTTTCTTTCTCCTCCTCTTTAACAAGTTCAAGCAGTTCCAATGGATAATATCGATTTTCTTGATATGATACACCTTTGTTTTGAAATTGTTCGATAACACAATGAAGATAAGGATTTAAAAGTCGTATTCGATGTCTTGCATAAAAATGTGCTGTGACAGAAATGTTGAAAGGTTTTGCAAGTTTTCCATAAGCAGGTATAACATTTGCCCCTTCCTTTGATAAGCCACCAATTATAAAACTTTTTTTCATTCCATTTTTGTCCGTGTATGTTGTTTCAACCTTACGACCTTGAAGCTTTTTCAAAACTAAATTTCTATTTTCTGGGTGGTTAAGATGACATCTAAGTGATTTGACGGTGCAACATAAAATATTAGCACATTCCTCGCTTACAAGGACCATTTTTAAAATGAAATTAAACATTAATATTAATTAGACTTTATATACTCTTTTTTGTTTAGAAAATTTAAGGACCGCCCACATTGACAATATAAAAAGCCGAGTTTATCCATACATATCCTCATTCACAAAAAATTTTTCATAAAATTCTTTAAATGGAAAACATTAACGAAACTGAAATGAGTCCTAATAATATTTCTGAAACCAAAACTACTAGTGAACCTTTCTGGAAATTATTTAGAGGAAAATTTCTTCTGACGTTTTCACTTTGTGCAGGTAAATATATTGCTTTTTATTAAAATTTTAAAAATTCTTAGAATGTCGGGACAGTCTATTTAAGAAGAGTGACAAAGCAGTTCGAAAAGCAGAAAAGATTGAAATTAAATTTGAAATTTGTGACGCATGCTATAAGAAGAATTGTAAATCTTCAGATATTTTATCACCATACACGCCAAAGAAAATATAATCAATGATAACAATTTTTCAAGATAAACAATTTATTTAATATTATTCAAATTTAAACTTATTTGTAAAACTTTAAAAAATAAACAATTTAATAATAAAAAGTTGCATATTTTATTATTTGGACACAATCATTACATACAAAAAATTTATATTTGTATGTATTTCCATTTTCAACCTTTATGATTTCATCTTGCTCCTTTTTAAGTATTTTTGTACGGCATTGATCACACCATGTTGATAGCTCAAAATTGTGATCTAAGAATGTGAATAACGTGGACGAATCTAATTTCTCACCATTTTTAATCATTTGATTCAGATCTTTAGTTAAAGGATGCCAGGAACAATCCCAAAATTCTGTAGTTCCCTAAATATTGATAATAAATTTGATTTTTTATAAAGATTTACCTCCAAAACATTTTGTTCAACAACTTTGTTCGGCATAGACGGATCACTTGGAAGATTCTACAATATTAAAGATAAGAGGATTTATTAAAATATCTACCTCTTGATTTATATCATTTATATTTAAGAAAGATGCGAAAGTTTGTTCCATTGCGAATTTAAAGTAATATTATAAATTGTTTTAATAATCTATAAAATATTTTTGATTTTATTTTAAGAAAAAATGACAAAAGGATATAAAAGAAATAAAACAAGAAAATTCAAACTATTTAGAGTTAGGCAAAGTAAAAATTCGTTTTATCTTTATATATATATATGTCAGCCTCTCTCTATTTATGAAAATAAAAGCGAAGCCAAGCGAAATTTAAATATTATGATTTTAAATATTTATGATTTCTTATGATTTTCATTAATTTCCAAAAATTTTTGTTCGTTTCAGAATTCACTTAAAAGATCTATTATTATCCTTAATTTTTAATTTAATTTTTAATGGACAACATTACATCAAACAAAAATGAGGAATATGATATTGCTGTAATTGTAGAGGTTAATTAAGTAAATATTAAATAATTTTAGTTTAATTCAGGGAATATGTCTATATAAAAATTTCTACAAACGCGAATATCTCAATTCAATGAACATTACTTTAAAAGAAGGGAAAAGCTTCGATATCGGCGCAAGACTTAGTATGCTGATAAATTACTTTAGAGCTGGAAAGTGGTGTCCTGACTGTCTAAAATTCACTTTGACAAGAGATCAGAGTGAAATTTTCAAACCAAAAGATGAAATTTCGTTCATTTATCTACTTTATTTATGCTCAGATTGTGCTAAAATCACCAAAAATAAACTCAATAATTAATCATTTTATTCACTATATTAGTTACAAATAAATCTGGATTTGCTTGTTTATTTAATATTTCAAGGTATTGGTCAAAAGTATAACCTTTTGAGAAAAAATATATAAAAGAGATGCAATGCTCGGAACAAGTATTGGCATATGAGGATTGATAAGGTTTTAGATTTTTTGAAATTTTGGAAAAATTTTTGAGAAAGGAATTAATTATGCATATACTTGTAGGGAGTGCCAAGCTATCAAAATATATCACTTCATTATTATATTTTATGTAAACAACAACCCAGTGAGAACCTTCATAACCAAAAGGGTCCAAGTTGACGATTAGTATTTTTCCTTTTGTCGAAGTAGGATCAGGCAGACAATTACAAGGGAAGCATCCTAGGAAGATTCGTGATGTTTGGTGATTTGTCCTCAGAATTTTTGTAATCTGACTTGCGTACATTATTAAAATTGAATCTGAACCAAAGTACTGATCGAAGTTGGTAAATAATTAGACTAGCTAATAACATGGCATACAAACATATCATTCCCCAGCAGAATACATGTCCATAAAAATTATTGTCTTTTGGACTTTCCTTGCAAAGCGATGGCAGATTATCGAAATTAATAAAATTTGGTACTGGAGCAACAATTTTTTGCTTTGAAGGTAAAAGAGGATTTCCTGTAATATTTTCTCCTCTGTAATATTTAACAAGTTCAGAATATTCTGGTAAATTATCCAATTTTATAGTACCATCTGTTGATAATGCTTCGATTAGTGGAACAAAAATTCTAATTAGAAAAACTATTTTGAAAATATTATTCATTTTTAAATGATTTTCCTCAAAATTCTTTCATATTTATACTTTTTTTAAAAATTTTTAAAATATGGGTTAATGTTTTACTTGTATCAAAAATAAATTCTAAAAGGAATAAAATTTATCTATTTAAAATAATTACAATATGAAAGTTAGAATTTATATTGTGGTATCACTTGCGATTGTTCTATTTTTATCTAACATTATGAGTGAATCTGCTTCTCCCATTACTATAAGCATTATTCCTCCTTCAGGTACAGGTTTGCTAAACTTAATATTTACAGCCGTTGTTCCATTTTTAATTAAATCAAAAGTTCCTCCTTGATCTTCTCCGCTATTTGTTAGGTTAAAAACATAGATACAATGTGTTTTACCATATTGTTGTAAAGTTATTCCATTGCTCTCCGTTGAATTTGCTAAACCAATTGCCTCATTCATATCAATAAATGCTCGAACATATTTTCCATTTTCATAATCAAAGTCATACGGTGCTTGTGGATAATTTCTTCCATTAGCAATAATACTAATCTCGCGAACATTAAAATGATGAAAGTTAAAAGGGCTACGTTTAATATCTCCTACATAATCTGAATTTGAAACGAGCCCTAGTGTAATACGCCTAGGAATCTGATCCATAAATAGATTGGCATTAAACTCATATCGACCCTGACTAATAAACAAAGGCTTCATCATAGTTTTTCTTATCGAATAGCGAGCAGGTTTAGTTTCAAGTCTTTTTGCAATGTCCAAAGCCAATCCGTCCATTAAGTCAACCTTCTTAACATAAAGTTTCATATTTGTTACTTCAAAATGATAACGCGTTGCTACTTCCATAGCATTTTGTAGTCCAAATGTCATAAGAACAAATCGGGAATCGTTTGGTATAATTTCGATATCAACCTCGCAGTGATTTATCAAATAAAGTGGTTGATTGAAAATATCTGCATCAAGTTTAGCAATGAATTGTGCTGTTTTACTGTTTTCAAATAATCTTCTCCTTTCGATAGTATCTAGGCCACCTTCCTGAGTTGAAGTATTATTGTAAAAGTATCCAGCGGCATTTAAATGTGAGCTCTTTGCGTTTTGTGAATATGAGAGCTCATGTGAAAAATAGGTTTTGTAAGCATAAAGGGAATTTGAATTGAACACTTCTCTTCCATTAACACTTATTCGCATATTATTAATAAATGTCTGTCCTATAAGCTGTATTGGAGAAACATTGTCTGCGACAGAAAGATTTACAAGTTGTCCACTTTCATTTTCTTTTCGAATTCGAAATTCAGTAAATAAATAACATTTAGTCAAATCAATATAATTTTGACTTGCATGAATTTTAAAATGGTAAGGTGTATCGGTGAGTGGATTGCTTGGCAGAATTTCAAAAACTTTGGATGATGAAATACTTACATTTGTAGGTGGAATTTGAAAAAAGTCTAAAGCATTGGTAATTGAGTTAATACTATCGTTATCAATTTTGTGAAAGGCCATTTTAGTAAAGACCAAAAACGTCTGATTTTACTCTTTTTTTAATCGGTTTGCCAATTAATGTTTGATAACTAGGTAATTTTCTCCCTTTTATACCCTTTTTTCTAACAAATCCAGAACCAAATTGTTTAGGTAGGCCTCCCTTCTCCAGTACAGTATCTACCCCCTTCTTTCCTTCACTGATGAAAGCTTCTTTGATTGGGTCTCCCTGACTAACTCTTTCAAGAACGCGTTGCCCTGTGTTAATTGCTTCTGACTTTACAGTATTTCCAACATTGCGAAGAACAGGAAGAAAGAAACGCCATAGTCCGCGCATAACATCACCGACTCCAGCTCCTTTTTGAATACCATATCCTCTTTGGAAGGGGGAAGACCCTCGAAAATAATCATATGATATTTCTCCACCACCGGACATCTCATTAGGATTGTTTTGGACAAAATCGTCATATCCTACTGTACTAGTATCAAAAACAACGTGCACCATTTTTTAATAAATAAAATTTATTTTAGAATTTAAATAATTACAAACACTATTTATATACACTTTGAAAGAAAATCAAAAATTTATCACTTTTTTAAAGATCAAGACAATGAGCACAGTACCAAAAGAAAATGGTACTAATCTACCATTATCCATTGTTCTTATTTCAATCTCAATTTCGTTAACTTCCTTTGGTAAAACACGAGCATATATTGGTGAATCATAGATATTTTCATTATATTCTCCAGGTTTTGCACCGGCCACAGAGACTACACGTAAAAGTGAACTTAGACTATTACCAATTATCATATTTTCTGTTAGTCCTTTTGTATACACAGCAAAACTTGAAAAACCACCCCTTAAGTCACATCCATACTTTGCAATTTCTCTGTTTTGGACCATATTTGTATTTTCAAACCCCAAAACATATCCAAGTTGAGGCGAAAATGATAGATATTTAATGCTTGTATGAGTAAATTGTATCTTAAAACGTTCAAAATCCTTGTGATATAATATTTCTATCGAATCAATTATTTGTTTTTGGACTGAAGCATCAACCTTATCCTTCTTTAGTCGCCCATACTGTCTTAAAAGAGCGGGCATGTTCGGTAAATAATTTATTCGGGCTTGGCGTGTGGGTGTTCTCCCTAGTACAGTAGTTAATATTTGTTCCATTTCTTCTGTCCATAATGGATCACTAAATGTTTCTTCAGGGGTTGGAAGAAGGGGAAGTTTTGAAAGATCCTCGGTAGCTGGTTCAGGTTGTGAAGGTTGAACAGGAGTTGTTGTTTCAGGGAGCGGTGAAGGTTTTGAAATATCTATAGGTTTAGGAGGCTCAATTATAACAGGTGGAAGAGGGTGTTTTTCTGAAATATCTCCTTTTTGCTGATCTTGTGAAACAGGTTTTGTTGGAGAGGTATAACCAGGTAGAGACTTTAAAGGAGAAGGTTGTTGAGTAGTCATTGAGGTAGGGGTTGATGGTGTTGCTGGAGGGTGTATGTCTGTGTACGTTGGTAGAGGTGGGGGCCTGTAAGGTTCATCTTCTGCCTCTTTATCTCTAGCAATTCCTTCAAACTCAAGTGCCCTAAATCTATCCATTCTATAATTGACAAGTCTTTTGAGTCCATCAATTTTAGTATTTAATTCCTTCCTTCGATCCTCATCTGTTTCCTCATCATACAAAGTTTTTGTATTAGAAATTTCCTGATATGTAGCTATCAACCCATAAAAATTACTTCGTATTGCTGGCCAATAATCAGGGTTATCACTGAAAAATTTATCAACATAACCTTTATGGGTTAAATAATTCTCTCTATTATATTGTTTAACAGTTTTTTGTTTGTCCCTTCTTAGCACAGCAGCATCAAGTAAATTTACTCTCTTAGTCATTTTTTCAATTTCTTTCTTGAATCTTGGTAAAAATCCCTCTAATTGTAATGGTATTTCCTTTTTGTCTTCTATGAAGAGAGCTATAAGTTTGAGATGGTCTATGATTAATATTTCATTGTAATTTTCAGGATAAGTTTCGAAAAAATCAACAACAATGTTGACATCTGTATTGTTCTTTTCAAAATCTCTTCTTTTGGCTTCCTCTTCCAATTTTCTAATTCGAGATTCTAAAGCACTCTTTTTGAAACTAAGGTTCCAAAATGTTGTTGTCATTTCACTTTTAATTGTCTCATCTTGTTGTTGATCTGTTCTTAATTTAAATTCATCTAAAGATTTTGAATCCTCTACAAGTTTATCTTTTAAAATTTTTATTTGGTCCCAATATTGATCAGGATAATCTATGAACACTTCATCAACTTTAGGAATGATCCCCACTCTAATTTGCCTTAACTCTTCTAATGAACGTTTATTTCTTGGGCGTTTAAGTGAGGGCAGATCAACTAAATCTTCAGGTTTTTCCAAAGGCGAAGCTCCATATGTTTCGCTTTGATGTTGAAGTGTGGAAATTAAAAATTCATGTAATTTTTCAACAGTTGTATGCGATGCTTTTGGAACGGGGACTCTTAGAACTTTGGCCATTCCAAGATTATCTTTAAAATGTATATCAATCCATTGATCATCTAGTGTACCAATAGTTGCTGCCCAAGAATATGGATAATTTATACTATGTAATCCACAAACCCAGTTACCGGAAAAATAGAGAGGCTTCGGTAAATGAACACGAAATTTATTTGGACGATTATCTGGATAATCGGGAATATTACTAGGTAGGAAGACAAAAAAGCTGTTTGACATAATTTTATCACAAAAAATTTTTACAATAATGAAAAAATGTTTTCTTTTATACTAATTGTGATTCATGAATCCATTCTCGTTCTGGGTATCCTATAAATTTAACTAGAACATCAAAGGTTCCGTCTGGTCTCTTTCTTTTTCTCACAACTTTTTCAATTCTATATTCTGTATCGGCATCTTTTCTTACACGAGTTAACTCTTCATTGTAAAATAAACCTTTGAATTTTTCACCTTTATCGTCGCGGACTTTGTATTGAATAGGCAAAGGGGTTTCTTTTATTTTATCCACTTGTAATATTTCATCTCCCCAATTTGGTATGTATCCTTTTTCAAATGCACCTTTTTCTACACTCATTCGTACAAAATCATCCTTTTTAAGTTTTGGTTTTGTTTTATTATTTTTTGAAGAAAACATATCTCCATAGATTCGTTTCCATACCTTTTGAGCGTTATCAAAGTTGACATCTATAGGTCGCATTCCATGAATTCTACTTTTTGCTTTATTTATTCCTTCTAAAATCCTTTCAAGGACATCAATCCAATTTAATGTTTTCTTTTGAGCAAAATTTCGGTAAAGTCGTTGTTTAACATTGCGAATTGCTCTTTCCGCAACGGAAGCTTTGACGATAGAATGTGTTGGCTCATGTTTTTCTATCCCCTCCTTTTCAAAAAATTCTTTCATTTGTTTATTTTTAAATTCGGTCCCCTTATCTGAAAAAATTCTTTGTGGTTTCATAGGCATTTGTGAAATTAAGTTTTTAAAAGCTTCTATCATTTCTTCAGTCTTTTTGGATTTGACAGGAACACCAAACACTCGTTTAGATAGAACATCAATACCTAGAAGTAAATAACGATTTCCTTTATTATGTCTGGATAACTGTTGGAAATCTGCCAAATCAACTTGAACATCTGTCATAAACCCAGCAGCTACAGTTTTTGATCTTTTAAAATGAATACGTTTAGGTCGCATAAGAGTATATGTTCTATGTCCTTCTAGGTAATGTTGAACAGCTTTTCTTGGTATATGTTTGAGAACTTTACGTGCTTCATACCAAAGTCGGTCAATTCCTGAAAATGCCGCAGGGGATTCTGGGTTATTGTATAGATCATCAAGGAGTTTAGTATAATCCGCCATTTATTTACCAAAGAGATGGTTTAAAACTGATGATATCTTTTTGTGTCGGTTTCCTTACTGCCCATTTACTTTTTGATTTATAAACATTTCTTTTCTTCAGATTTTTAACCCATAATCTTGAAGCTCTTTGAGATTGTTTTTTGTTGACTTTTCTCTGGACTTTAGCAATTGTATGTCCATCTCCTTGTGACCATTCTGCTTTTCGTTTTATTTTTTGACGACTCAAGGGTGGGGAAGGTGACCTTCCCTCTCTCATGACTTTTCTAAAGCCTTTTGGTGCACCACTTTTTTCTTTATTTCGTACTTGTTGAATAACATAAGGATCTATTGGAACCTTGAGTTTCTGTGACTTTCGTCGTCTTGCTAATAATTGTTGCCTTTTTTCATATCGTTTCCTATCGTGTTCCTTCAATTTATTCTCTTTTTGCTTTATTTCTTGTTCCCTTCTTTTATCATATATCTTTTTCCTCTTTATACTTTCAAAATCACCCTCCTCTAATTCTCTTTTAATAATTCGCTGCTGAGGTGAGATATGAGGTGATATTATTGGCACATCTTGGGATAATATAATAGAGTCTTGACTCCCTGTTTTTGAATATTTTGTACTTTTGCGTCTTGAAAATTTTTTCTTTGGTTCAGACACAATTTCCTTTTTTATTATTTTAGGATTTGTAGTTGGAGGTATTGGAGGAGAAGGTGGTGAGCTTCCCCTCAATTTCTTAAAACGTTTTTTAACTGATGTGGATGATGATGATAAAGATGGAGGATGAGGTAGTTTTTTGGGTTTAAAATTAATTATCGATTTAACTTCCTTAGTAGATTGAGGAAAAGATGGAAGAGAAATATCATCAGTTGTTAATATTTCATCATCGTCTTCGACTATATTAGACGATGGACGTGTAGAATTGGTACTCATTATTGCTCCCTTAGGCGTAGCTACCATTTCTACTTTGACAGGCCTGTTTTGTTGCTCATTTCTCATTTGTAAATACCGCCTGAGTTCTTGGTTATATTTTACATTTTTTGCACTTGGATTATCTTTCTTTCTTTTAATTTTTTCAAGATCATTTTTAATTAAATCGAGATTAGGTTCACCGGTATCAAATGTAGTTAGTCCTTTATAAATTTCTTCGGGAACAAGAATGAATTTATTTGCCATGATTTGTTATTTTTTGTATTATTTATGGCTTTTTATAGAGCTTCCTAGTGATTTTGCTAATTCTATGAGAACAGGGGTCAATAACGCGGCAAAAGTTCCAATACCTCCACCTTTTTGATTTAAAATTTTTCTAGCTCCGTGTTCACTTCTTACTCTACTCATTTTGCGCACAAAATCAGCATATGGAAGTAGTCGCCTCCTTTGCCAAGGTGTAAGTTTGAGTCTATCCTTTATAATATTCAGACAAATTTCAGTTATAGCTAACAATTGATCTGTATTTGAGAGTCTTAGCATACGTTGCAATTTGCGTTGAGATTTTGTTTTTGCAAGTACTTGTAAAAATTGTGAATTTTTCTGAATAATTTGACTGACCATTTATGCTCTATTTTTTGGAATAAAAATAATTTTTTCTTCATCTTCTTTAAATATACTTGTGCGTAGTCTCAGTCCAGGGT